CTCTCTCTCTCTCTCTCTCGTTTAATAATTAATTGCTAACACATTTACAAAACAGCCAAATAATGTCGCGTTTAATTAAAGTAAATTATTTTACTTTATTTTACTAATTTGTAGAGAATTTATGAACAAAATTAATTTTTATTAAACTTAAATTGAATTTTATGTAGTAATTGAAAAATACAACTTTATTTCAAGTGTAGCACAAATAGTGTGAATGTGTTGTGAATTGCATTGTTGTATATTCTGTGTGTTTGTATGTATTGTGCCATAAATAGGGTGACAATTGGGTCAATTGATGTCCAGTATATTCTAGAAATGGGTGTACAGTATGTGTATAATTGTCGGCAGTGTTTGTGTCTAACATTCTTGCAGTAAAAATAGGGTTAAAATATTTTAAATATAACTTAAATTTCAAATTAATTAGTTTCACAAATAATTGTAATACAAATTCTAGATAACAATTCTTTACAAGTTTATAAATGCAATATAAATACACAATTTTATAGTTTAAATACTCATAGAAAACTTTTAAAACTTTTAAAACCTTTAAGAATGTAAAATTTTTACTCATTTCTAAATCATTACTTATTAGCAAAATTTTAACTTTAAGAAAATTATTTCATCTTGATAGGAAATACAATGATAAGTATTTTTCTAAATAAATAAACACTATGATAAATCATATTTAGTGCATTTAAACCTAGAATAAACCTAGTACATTATTATAACATTATTACATAGTGACACACATTACAATATCAGTGTATTTAACGCACGTACTTTAACCACCGTAATTGATAAACCACCCTGTTAGATCAAAAATCGTACCAAATTACGTAAAAATAATTAGCAAACCCCTAACGTTATGGCCAATGAGTACAAATAAAAAATGACGCGCGTACTTTATGGTAACCAAAATGCGTTATACCACGTACAATAAATATATGAAAAGTATTTAAAAGTGATGCAAAGTACTGGTGCCAGGCCTTGCACTGCAGACATAAGACACTGCACTGCACTCAACCGTTTAGCCTACGTTCACATCTACGGTGTCCTACAAAATGAACGCCTGTTAGTTGTATTGCAAACGCCACTGATTTTTATACGCGAGCTTGTTTTTATTAATTATGCAATTTATTGTAATTAGTTGATTAATTTTATTGCCAATTAATTAACATTACGTAATACACGTCATTAATACACACAATCACTAAAGGGTAAGTGTTTTACTCAATGTTATCGCATTTATACACTCAGAGTTCACACCAGTATTACAGCTAAACAGTACTGTAAATATTATTTTTGTTTTTTATGTTTGCATTTTGTTTTTCATTTTAACTGTGCATTTAATTAGCCTTTTTATGCTGTTTATTAATAATGCATTAAATTTAATTAATTAACCTGCTATGAATGCATATGTGCTGTAATTTGATCATGTTTATATAATTAACGCATTTTATAGTTTTCTAATTGCAAACAACAGTTAAAACATTGCATTTACTGTACATTATGTATGTGTTGTTCACTATATGAGTGTTCACTATATGTGCGTCCATTATATATGGGTTTAACAGTCAGTATAGTGTATATCGATATCACAATACCTGACATACAATACAATTGTTTTCATGTCATATAAAACACGAGGTTTTGTATCACAAAACTCCTTAGGTTTCAGTCAAACCAATCACTAAAACATTTGTAATTATTTTTTTTGCAATTCATTAAAACTAGTAATTAATTAACTTTTTGTTTTTGTAATCCAATCACAGATATAGAGATGGGTACGAGACGTGATCCGCGCCGACCGTTGCCGCCCTCGAAGACCGCACACGAGGCCACAGTCAGGGATCGATCGCCGCTAAGACCGCAGCACAACTGCACACATGGGTCGGACACGTGGCCACCGCTGGCGCCCTCACCACCGGTTGTCAGCTCAACGAGCCGTCGATCGCCGGAGACCACAGTCGTTGAGCTCCAGAAGCAGATCAATGCGTTGACGGCCGACAGGACCCGACTCTCGGAGGACAACCAGACGCTGAGGGCTGCGCTCGAGGAGACGGACGCCAAGTTGGCGCTGAAGACACGTGAGCTGACCATTCAGGTGAACACATTGAAGTCTGAGAATGCGCTGATCGTCAAAGAGAGGGCCGAGTTGTCCGCCAAAGTGGCCGACAATAAGAAGTTTCTGGACTTCTATAAGCAAAAGAAAGACAAGGAACTGACGCTGAAGACCGGCACCACAGTCAAGGAGTTGGCCAATGAGCGCAAGCGAATCAAACATCTCGAACAGCAGATCCAAACCATGATCGCCGAGAAGGATAAGGACCGCAAGAGTAGGTCTGAGATGAAGGCCGACTTAATGACCGCTCAGAAGGCCAGGGATCAGACCGAAGAAAAGTACAGACAATTGGTCCGCAAGTATAAGGAGACGCGCGAGAAGTTCGAGACCTATAAGAGAGGAATAAGAGCGGCGGCCGAAGTGGCGACCGTTCCCGTAGTGGTGGCCGACACTCGTCAACAGCAGCAACAGATGCGAGACTTGAAAGAGCAGTGCCAGAGAGCGGAGCAGCAGCTGATGGCCAGTCGCCAACTCGTGACCGAACTCGAGACCAAAGTGGCGGCGCAACAAAAGTCGTTTGACGTCCAGTTGGGTGCGCTTAAGAGACAGAATAAGCACTTCCAGGACTCGGCAAACATGAGCGTAAGTCACACATTGATTTCAATGACAGTCAATTGATCCTAAATTAATGTCTGATTACCATATTTATAGAAAATACGATTAGTGAAAGTGGAATATCTCCTCCAACGTGTGGATCAGATGCATAAATTGACGTCCAATCGGGTGGCGGACACCGTCGACAACAACGGCGATGAAGTGATGGACGAGATCGCGGCGGCGGTAAAGGAAGTGTTGGACAGAAAGCGCATAGAGTTGAACGAACGCAACACTGCGGCCGCGGCCGACGGCGCCCGACAAATGTTGATCCAGAGAGAGGTGTTTGAACAGAACGCCGACCGCATCAGCACAAACCCAAATGAAAAAAGTATGTGTCAACAATTGATCTCGATTAAATGTGGGCTATTTTTACATTAATTGTTTTTATTTTGTCACCAATAGAGAATTGCCCGGAGCCGCACTGCGACAAGCAGTATGTCGGCCACATTCACCTCCAGAAGCACATCGCGGCCAAACACCCATACCTCGCAGCGGCCACTATTGTCTCACCGGCCGTACCGATGGACACAACCAGCGCCTCGATGTCCACTTCCTATTCGTCGACTCCGTCCAACTCTTTCCGGTCCACAGCCGGCCCGTCGGCGACCCCCTCACGAGCCGCTAACAGCGCCCACACGTCGACCCCCTCCACAGGTGCTAACGTCACCTATACGTCGACCCCCATCGCCATCGGTGGTAATGTCATCGACGAGATAATCATTGACGATGACTGAGCATTACTGAAGACTACTATAAGCACTCAATCAGTTACAGTCAATCATCTGTTCCTTCATTTTAATATTGATTGAGTTTTTGCTTATTTTTTGTGTAAATTATTTTCGTTTGTAAGACTTTTTTTGTCGCTTTTTATTTCTTATTATTTGATTTGATTTGTTTTTCGTAATAATTATTACTTTTTTTGATTTTGTGTTAATTTGAAAATTGGTTTTCAATTTGATTTTCAGTACAAATGTATTGATTGTATTGTTTTTATCATTTATCCATTTGTTTTACATCTAACGATCTCCTTATGTAATAATTTGATACTTTTAACCATAAGTTGGCATTCAATGCCATAAATCTCTCGACAACTCTATTATTAATCGCAAAATCATTGATAAAAATGATTATGATTATAATTTCAAATTATATAATCGTTTTAATTTGTCATTTCTATCGCGTTGTAATATCATATAATTTATGATCAAAATGATTAACAATTGTTATAATAACACACTTTTTAAAATTAAATTCTTGCTGATATTGTTTTTGATTTATTTTGTTTTCCATTAGTAAACAACTATTAATTTAGTAGTGTTTTAATTATATTAACTAAATTTTTAGGACATTTTGTAGTAAATTTATACTAATTTGTAATAGATTTATAATACACGTCATGATAGACTAATTATTAATTATCAAATAAGCATATTTTTAATTAAATTATCATAACTACAAAATAATTATATCAATAACTATTAAACATAAAATGCAAATAATTAATACATAATTTATAATTAATGAGCAAAACATTATGCCTATTTGTTATGTAAACTCATTACACATTACATGGTTGAACAATACTATCATAACTATTGTTAATATACTTTTATTTTACTGTAACTCAAATAAAAAATTTAAATTTGACAAAATAAAATATTACAAAATCAAAATCACTCGTAATTTATTTAACGATAATTAAAATCATAGTAATTAGTATTATATTTGTTATAATTATGGTAAACAGAACATTTGTCCCACTATTGTACAATTCAAGTCTCTATTTATAATTACAGTAATCAATTATTTAATATTACAGTCGGTATTAATATTATTTAATTATTATTATTATTTATTAATTTGATTAATAATTATAGTAAAGTTATTAGTATAATAATATTTTTAAAATATATTTTATAATGATAGTATAATAATATATTTTACTTTAACTATTTCTAAATTTAATATATATTAATTTTTG